CCCAAAACATGCCTTTCTTTAGAAAAAAAAATTGGGCAAAACTAATGTTTGGTCATATGTTGGAAAAAAAATAAATCTTTTTTTTATATTTTCTGCATGTTTCTCATTAAAATATATTTTTGTAAAAAAGTGCTTTATACATAGATTTGCACGAAGCAAATAGACGATAAGGTGAACTTTCTATGCTAAGTCATTTTGATAAATAAAAGGAAGTAATCAATGACAGGGAGTATTTGTTCATAAATTCCTTCATTTATTCGCTCCTAACTAAATACAACACTGATCAATCAAAAAAATCTGTATTTAAACATATATACAAACAGTATATACAATATATAAAACAAAGCAGCATATGAAAATTAATGGTAATGTTAACAATGCAACCACTGCAATACAACTCTGAGGCAATACGCTACACATGACATGTTTGTCTTCACTGTCACTGTCAGTGTCAGGGCAGTCATCATCATCATTGATCCCTATGTGTTATGTACAAGCTGTAAGGTCTGCACAACGATGTATTTGTCCTGTTTCTTGCATATTATGTTGTGGTGAGTTTTCCTCTTCTTCCGTACTGCTAGATGAAACGCTGTAGGCAGCCATCTTGCTTTTCTATTTACCAAAAACTGCTACCCTATTGGTGTAGTCCGGTCATGTGTCGACTGTGCCACACATTTTATTGCACCCTGAAGATTATAGTTCTGTATAAAATGCCTCGTTATAAACAATGGGCAGGAAATTGTGGGCGAACATTTTGCTGTTAGCTTTACATAACTCCGACTTTAAAAAAATAAAGATTGTGTACTTCCCAGACGTCAGAGCGGAATTCAGTTTCTGAAAGCCTGTGCTTCATCTTACGGCCTATGAGTTGGATGCTGCACCTGCTGCACCTTTCTAATATTCTGCCACTTGCCGATGAGCTCTGACTCTCCCAAGACCTGTAAACCTTTTGAAGACTTTTAAAGTAAATAATTACTATAGAATTTTACTGTATTCAGAAATTGGCATACCAAAAAAAGAATTTTAAGCACAAAAATGGACATAGCTAAGTATTTTAAGGCAAATTAGTGTATTTTTAGTCATTTTTGAGAAACTTTTATTTTCGGAGATTAGTTCAGGAACTTATTGGTATAGTATCTCACTGTGATCAAAAGGTGGCGTTACCAAAAAAGTATATATTTTTGAATTTTAAGCACAAAAATGGACATAGCTAAGTATTTTAAGGCAAATGAGTGTATTTTTAGTCATTTTTGAGAAACTTTTTTTTTCGGAGATTAGTTCAGGAACTTATTGGTATAGTATCTTACTGTGGTCAAAAGGTGGCGTTACCAAAAAAGTATATATTTTTGAATTTTAAGCACAAAAATGGACATAGCTAAGTATTTTAAGGCAAATGAGTGTATTTTTAGTCATTTTTGAGAAACTTTTTTTTTCGGAGATTAGTTCAGGAACTTATTGGTATAGTATCTCACTGTGATCAAAAGGTGGCGTTACCAAAAAAGTATATATTTTTGAATTTTAAGCACAAAAATGGACATAGCTAAGTATTTTAAGGCAAATGAGTGTATTTTTAGTCATTTTTGAGAAACTTTTTTTTTCGGAGATTAGTTCAGGAACTTATTGGTATAGTATCTCACTGTGATCAAAAGGTGGCGTTACCAAAAAAGTATATATTTTTGAATTTTAAGCACAAAAATGGACATAGCTAAGTATTTTAAGGCAAATGAGTGTATTTTTAGTCATTTTTGAGAAACTTTTTTTTTCGGAGATTAGTTCAGGAACTTATTGGTATAGTATCTCACTGTGATCAAAAGGTGGCGTTACCAAAAAAGTATATATTTTTGAATTTTAAGCACAAAAATGGACATAGCTAAGTATTTTAAGGCAAATGAGTGTATTTTTAGTCATTTTTGAGAAACTTTTTTTTTCGGAGATTAGTTCAGGAACTTATTGGTATAGTATCTTACTGTGGTCAAAAGGTGGCGTTACCAAAAAAGTATATATTTTTGAATTTTAAGCACAAAAATGGACATAGCTAAGTATTTTAAGGCAAATGAGTGTATTTTTAGTCATTTTTGAGAAACTTTTTTTTTCGGAGATTAGTTCAGGAACTTATTGGTATAGTATCTCACTGTGATCAAAAGGTGGCGTTACCAAAAAAGTATATATTTTTGAATTTTAAGCACAAAAATGGACATAGCTAAGTATTTTAAGGCAAATTAGTGTATTTTTAGTCA